GGAAGTAGCCATCAGAAAATGGAGACACTGTGCTCATAAAGGGATGGACATGGTCAGCAGCAATACTCAGGTAGACTGTGGTGTTGATGCTCAATTTAGCCCAAAGTGTGTCAAGAAAATCTCCCCCACACCATTACACCACCACCACCAGCCTGAACTGCTGATACAAGGCAGGATGATCCATGCTTTCATGTTGTTGATGCCAAATTCTGACCCGAGCATCCGAATGTGTCAGCAGAAATGGAGACTCATCAGAGCAGCAACGTTTCTCCAATCTTCTATTGTCCAGTTTTGGTGAGTCTGTGTGAATTGTAGCCTCAGTTTCCTGTTCTTAGCTGACAGGAGCGGCACCCGGTGTGCCCTTCTGCTGCTGTAGCCCATCCGCCTCAAGGTTGGACGTGTTGTGTGTTCAGAGATGCTCTTCTGCAGAGCTCGGTTGTAACGAGTGCTTATTTGAGTTACTGTTGCCTTTCTATCAGCTGGAGCCAGTCTGGCCATTCTCCTCTGACCTCTGGCATCAACGAGGCATTTGCGCCCACAGAACTGCCGCTCACTGGATATTTCCTCTTTGTCGGAGCATTCTCTGTAAACCCTAGAAATCGTTGTGCATGAAAATCCCAGTAGATCAGCAGTTTCTGAAATACTCAGAGCAGCCTGTCTGGCAGCAACAACCACGCCACGTTCAAAGTCACCTAAATCCCCTTTCTTCCCCATTCTGATGTTCGCTTTGAACTGCAGCAGATCGTCTTGACCATGCCTAAATGCATTGAGCAGCTGTATTGCATTAACAAGCAGTTGGACAGGTGTACCTAATAAAGTGAGTGTAAATGCAGCGTATCCAGATATTACTTTACCCCTGAAAAATAAGTAAGTTCAAACGTGGAAAAAAGTTGAATTATTGTGTTTTGCAAATATGAAATGGAATCTTTCCTTAGAAAAAAATACTTATTTTTATAAATTTTGTTTGTAGTGAAACAAATTCAGTGCCACAACGCTTAAAATGGCTTGATCTGGCAACATAGAAGAGGCTCATTTATTCTGCCTGCGTCTGACAACTCATTGGAGTTTGAGACATGAATTTATTCAGTCTCATTATATTGTTAAATATGACCTCTCCATCCACAGAATGGAATATTTGTATTTTTGAACATGAACATTTTACATGGGTCCAGACCTCCGCGACCTCATATCTGAAACAGGCCGGCGTCCTGTTTAATATGACCTTATTCTGAGGCAAAAACAAACAACATTCATTCATTTTCAGCATGATTTACAGAAGACAAGCACTCAAATATCATTTAATATCACTATATTTTCCAAGGCTCAAAACTCTTGTCAGCTGTATTTACATTAAGTATTAATAAGGACTTTTGGGTCGTCCTACATATAGTCAAACCTGTACACCGCACTGTGAGTGATTATATTACATTTTTCAGTCAGTTACAGGCAACACTTCTTTAAGATAATTTAATAGATTACTGTAATTACTGCTAAATGCATTATGGTAGAGTTAATTGCGGTGTATTACAGTGAATTTACAGTACATTAGGTAACACTTTACTTGACATGGTGTTCATAAGAGTGTCATAAAACCTTTATAATCCTGACATGACACATCATCAATGTGATTGAGATTTTATGCATGCTTATGACATGTTTTCACTGTGTTTGTCATTAAAAAGTCTCATTAAGAGTGTCGTTACACTGTCAGATCATTAGTAACAGCAAAATTAATATTTATTGACATTTTAATGACAAATTCAGCTTGTACCATTGTAATTGAGGTCAAAAATATGTATTAATTATACTCTTAGATTCATGACATCAATAACGGCTTCATGATGATCATGTTTATGACAGCTTTATGACAAGTGTTGTTGTCTTAGTAACGTCAAGTTGTCATGACAAAGACAAAAACAGCTTGTGATGTATTAGTTTGTCATTTTATAATTGAGTGAATGACACTTAATAGTTGTTATAAGCATGCATAAAACCTCATTCGCCTTTATCATGTTATGTCATGATTATAAAGGTTTAATGACAGTGTGTGTGGGTGTGTATTTTTTGAATTAGTTACAGGCAACACTTCTTTACGGTAATTGAATGGTTTACTGTAATCACTCTAAAATATATTACAGTACAGTTAATTAGTTTATTACAGTAACACATTACTTGACGGTGTGCTCATAAGACTGTCATGAAACCTTTATAATCATGTTATGACACATCATCAATGCGAATGAGATTTTATGCATGCTTATGACAACATTTATTAAGTGTCATTCCTTGCTTATGTCATTTTAAATGCAATGATGACACGGTTTGTTATGACAACTTGACATAAATACATCACAAGCTGTATCTGTCTGTTAGGACAACCTGAAGTAACCAAAACAATAACACTTGTCATAAACATGATCGTCTTGATGCATTATAACTGTCATGAATATTTTTCTGATCATGTTTTCACTGTATTTGTCATTAAAAAGTCTCATTAAGAATGTTGTCACTCTGTCAGATCATTATTAGCAGCAATATTAATATGTATTGGCATTTTAATGATCAATTCAGCTTGTATCGTGGTCAAAAATAAATATTAATGATGCTCTTATAAAATTCATGACATTAATAACGGCTTCATGATGATCATGTCAATTATGGCAAGTGTTGGTGTCTTGGTAATGTCAAGTTGTCATGACAGACAATAACAGATTGTGATGTATTCGTTTTTCAAGTTATCATGACAAAAAAAGTCATTGTTGCAATTATTATGACATAAAGGAGCGAATGACACTTAATAACAGTGGTTATAAGCATGCATAAAATCTCATTCACCGTTATCATGTCATGATTATAAAGGTGTAAAGACAGTGTGTGTGTGTGTGTGTAATCAGAGGGAATAAGGAACTGGTGTGCATCAGGTGCATGATGTTATTTGTAGTCCGGTTCAGTGACAGATCTGTAGTTCTCCAGTGATGTGCAGGCATTAGATCGCTGGTAATCAAGACACCCCTAAAACAAATAACCCGGCCTGGGTCACTAATTAGTGTTCACCAGATTTTACTATATCCAAATCCATAAGCACTTTTGGGTCGTCCTACATACTGTATAGTCAAACCTGTACACCTGCACTGTGAGTGATTATATTATATTTCTCAGTCAGTTACAGGCAACACTTCTTTAAGATAATTTAATGGATTACTGTAATTACTGCTAAATGTATTATGGTAGAGTTAATTGCGGTGTATTACAGTGAATTTACAGTACATTAGGTAACACTTTATTTGACATGGTGTTCATAAGAGTGTCATAAAACCTTTATAATCCTGACATGACACATCATCAATGTGAATGAGATTTTATGCATGCTTAAGACAACTGTTATTACGTGTCATTTGCTCAGTTATGTCATTTTAAATGCAATGATGACATTGTTTGTTATGACAACCTGACATAAATACATCACAAGCTGTTTCGGTCTGTCAGGACAACTTGACATTACCAAGACAATAACACTCGTCATAAACATGATCGTCATGATGCATTATAATTGTGTCATGAATATTTTTCTGATCATGTTTACACTGTGTTTGTCATTAAAAAGTCTCATTAAGAGTGTCGTCACTCTGTCAGATCATTATTAGCAGCAATATTAATATTTATTGACATTTTAATGATCAATTCAGCTTGTACCGCTGTAGTTAAGGGTCAAAAATAAATATTAATGAGGCTCTTATAAAATTCACGACATTAATAACGGCTTCGTGTCCATTCATGTTTATGACAGATTTATGACAAGTGTTGTTGTCTTGGTAACGTCAAATTTTCATGACAAAGACTTTGCCATCTTTGTCATCTTTGCATTTATAATGACAACAGAGCGAATGACACTCAATAGCAGTTGTTATAAGCAAGCATCAAATCCCAGTCGCCTTTATCATGTCATGATTATAAAGGTTTAACGACAGTCTTATTAACACCCCTTCAAGTAAATTGTTACCAAATGTTCATGTACTGTAAGACACTCAATAACAATTATTATGACCATGCATAAAATCTCCTTCACCTTATGACATCTGTGATTATGAAGGTTTAACGACAGTCTTATGAACACCTCTTTAAGTAAATTGTTACTAACCGTTTACCTCGTTTTACAGCATTCTTGCATTTTGTTGCATGCATTTCTGCTCATTTTTACAGTTTTACGCATTATTATAGAGTGCTGCAAAATATTAGTCTAATTTAACAGCAATAATGTAAGTTAAATCAGTGTTTCTCATCCACGCTCCTGGAGGACCACCAGCACTGCATGTCTGCTTTGTCTGTCACACCCATTACAGATCCTCCAGTCTCTGCTAATGAGCTGATGCTCTGAGTCAGGTGTGCCACATTCGGAAGATCGGGTCAGAATTTGGCGTCGACAACATGAAAGCATGGATCCATCCTGCCTTGTGTCAGCGGTTCAGGCTGGTGGTGGTGTACCTAATAAAGTGGCCGGTGAGTGTGTAATAAGTGGCATAAAATGACGATAATATCTTTATCGCGATATATTTTGGTGCAATATATCCTACATCAAACAATAGATACCGTGACAGGCCTAATATATGCTGTCCTCCATGCACAAACCACCTTAACTCTTTCTGATTTTGACTGTGATGTAAAAACGCATTGCTTTGGAGCAATAATGCCTGTCAAAAGAGCTGTCAATAAAGTCGTACTGAATAATTCTGAACTGTATAATCTTTTCAGAGACTGACATGATGTGAATCATTTGCAAGGAGACAAAATTAGCCATAATAACTGCCTGAAAATCCCACAGAGACACACGGACAAATGCAACGACAGCTCAGATCAACCACACACACTATCAGCATGTGCGTACAGACAGCAGGTGTGTGTGTGTGTCACAGTTGTTATTTAACACTTGTTTGTGTCATCACTCAATGTGTGGAGGCCGAGAGCAGTCTATCTGTGTGTGTGTGCGCAAGTGTGTGCGTTACCTGTGAGCGTCAGCAGCAGCACGCACACACAGATGAGGACACACACACACGGCAGCAGGATGAAGAGCAGCAGTCGCAGATGTTTCCCGCAGCGCTGAGTGTGTGTGAACGCTTCACCCATCATCAGCTCATCCGATACACACACACACACCTGAGAAAACACACACACACACACACATAGAGAGTTGATCAGTGGCAGCAGACAGAACTCGAGCGCTATTCTGAACATCCATCAAAGCTGAAGGTATTATTAACGTTAACCGACAGTCACACGGTACAATAACCAACAGAAATGGACAGAAACGACATGTTGTGAAAAATACGGTGAAGTTTTACCTCCGGTTAACGGCAGCAGATCACGGAGGATCCGGACCATCAGACACGGCGAGCAGACGCGCTCCCGCGGGCTATTTTTACACAGGTATTTCACTTCAGAGTTTCCAGCTTGTGCAGGAGAATCTGACACACACACACACATTCACACACACGGCGTTATTTATAGTAGCGGAAAGAAACTGAATGCGCGCAGTTCAACTCTGAAACACACACACACACACACACACACCGCACTGATTTGAGTACTTACCTAAAGTTCACAGCAGCAGATTCCATCACAAGTGGATCTAAATTTATTCTATGTTAGCTATTTATGGGTCTGTTGTATGTTATTCTGCTTATTACTCTTATATTTAGAGTTTGTTTTACTCGTACGTGTCGGATTTCTGAATACGAGTGTCTGCGCGCAACCCGCGCCACACTGACGAGCGAGTCGAGCGCGCGCACATTTATATCTTCACCAGAGAGAGAGAGAGAGAGAGAGAGAGAGAGAGAGAGAGAGAGAGAGAGAGAGAGAGAGAGAGAGAGAGAGAGAGACTGTCTAATAATTGATAGCCACCCTGTATATTTTCCCAATTTCTGTTTGACGGATATATATTCACATTTCTTAACACAATAGTTTTAATACCTCATTTCTCATAACTGATGATGATGATGACAGCACATAATATTATATTTTTCAAGACACTAGTGTTCAGCTTTGAGTGACATTTAAAGGCTTAACTAGGGTAATTAGGGTAAAGTTAGGGTAATTAGGCAAGTCATTGTATAACAGTGGTTTGTTCTGGAGACAAGGCAAAACTAATGTAGCTTAAGGGGGCTAATAATATTGACCTTAAAATGGCTTTAAAACGATTTTAAACTGCTATTATTCTAGCCGAAATAAAACAAATAAGACTTTCTCCAGAAGAACAAATATTAGAGGAAATATTGTGAAAAATTAATTTAAAACATTGTTAAACATCATTTGGGAAATACTTGAAAAAGAAAACGAGGGAATAATTCTGACTTCAACAGTACTGTTTGTGTTGTGAGAGAGAGTGTGTGAGTGAGTGAAAGTGTGTGTGCATGTTTGTGTGTGAGTGAGTGTGCATGTAAGAAAGAAAGAGTGTGGAGAGAGTATATGTGAGAGAGTTTGTATGTGTGTGTGTGTGTGATAGAGAGATTGCATGTGTGGGAAAAAGAGTGTGTGTATAGTAAGATAGATAGATAGATAGATAGATAGATAGATAGATAGATAGATAGATAGATAGATAGATAGATAGATAGATAGATAGATAGATAGATAGATAGATAGATAGATAGATAGATAGATAGATAGATAGATAGATAGATAGATAGATAGATAGATAGATAGATAGATAGATAGATAGATAGATAGATAGATAGACAGACCCTTTTTACCTTCAGAACTGCCTAAATCCTTTCTGGCATGGATTAAACAAGCTACTGGAGATATTCCTAAGAGATTTTGTCAGCTGCACATCCATGATGCCAATCTCCTGTTCCACCACATCGCAAAGCTGCTCTATTGGATTGAGCTCTGGTGACTGTGGAGGCCATTTGAGTACAGTGAACTCATCGTCATGTTCAAGAAACCAGTCTGAGATGATTGAGCTTTATGACATGGTGTGTTATCCTGCTGGAAGTAGCCATCAGAAGATGGAGACACTGTGGTCATAAAGGGATGGACATGGTCAGCAGCAATACTCAGGTAGGCTGTGGAGTTGATGCTCAATTGTTTCTAATGAGCCTAAAGTGTGGCAAGAAAATCTCCCCCACACCATTACACCACCACCACCAGCCTGAACCGCTGATACAAGGCAGGATGATCCATGCTTTCATGTTGTTGAGGCCAAATTCTGACCCGATCATCCGAATGTGTCAGCAGAAATGGAGACTCAGAGCAGCAACGTTTCTCCAATCTTCTATTGTCCAGTTTTGGTGAGTCTGTGTGAATTGTAGCCTCAGTTTCCTGTTCTTAGCTGACAGGAGCGGCACCCGGTGTGCTCTTCTGCTGCTGTAGCCCATCCGCCTCAAGGTTGGACGTGTTGTGTGTTCAGAGATGCTCTTCTGCAGAGCTCGGTTGTAGCGAGTGCTTATTTGAGTCACTGTTGCCTTTCTATCAGCTGGAACCAGTCTGGCCATTCTCCTCTGGCATCGACAAGGCATTTGCGCCCACAGAACTGCCGCTCACTGGATATTTCCTCTTTGTCGGAGCATTCTCTGTAAACCCTAGAGATGGTTGTGCGTGAAAATCCCAGAAGATCAGCAGTTTCTGAAATACTCAGAGCAGCCCGTCTGGCAGCAACAACCATGCCACATTCGGAGTCTCTTAAATCCCCTTTCTTCCCCATTCTGATGCTCGCTTTGAACTGCAGCAGATCGTCTTGACCATGTCTACATGCCTAAATGCACTGAGCTGCTGCCACGTGATTGGCTGATTAGAAATTTGCGTTAACAAGCAGTAGGAGAGGTGTACCTAATAAAGTGGCCGGTGAGTTTTCATTTGTATGTAATGTGCAATGCTTTGGTAATCCTTCACAAGCCGTATACATTAAAACGCATTTGAATTGAAAAAGAGAAAGACTGTTTGTTTGTTTGTTTGTTTGTGTGTGTGTGTGTGAGAGAAAGTGTGTGTGAATTTAAAGAATTGTGTGTGAGTGAGAAGAGAGATAGCGAGTGTGTGTTTGAGAAATGTATATGTGTGTGCAATTGTGTGTGTGTCAGATATCAAGAGTATGTAAGTGTATGTGAGATAGGTGTGTATTTATGTATGCATGCGAGTATGTTTGAGAGTTGTATGTGTGTGTGTGTGAGATAGAGAGAGAGAGCTATGTGTGTGAGAGTGACAGAAATAGCAAGTGTGCATGTGAGAGTATGAATGTTTATGAAAAGTGTGTGTGTGTGTGTTTTTCTTGTTTGTGTGTGTTTATGTGTCGTTTGTGTGAGTGTGTGGGGGGGTGGATTGGGGAGTATTTTCTTGTTCGTGTGTGTGTGTGTGTGTGTGTGTGTGTGAGAGAGAGAGAGAGAAAGTGTGTGTGAATTTAATGAATTGTGTGTGAGTGTGAAGATAGTGAGAGAGTGTGTTTGAGAGTTGTATATGTGTGTGTGTGTGTTAGATATTAAGAGCATGTAAGTGTATGTGCGATAGTTGTGTGTGTATGTATGTATGCGAGTATGTTTGAGAGTTGTGTGTGTGTGAGTGTGTGTGTGTGTGTGTGTGTGTGTGTGTGTGTGTGTGAGAGAGAGTGACAGAAATAGCAAGTGTGCATGTGAGAGTATAAATGTTTATGAAAAGTGTGTGTGTGTGTGTGTGCTTGTGTGTGTGTGTGTGTGTGTGTGTGTGTGTGTTTTTCTTGTTTGTGTGTGTATGTGTCGTTTGTGTGAGTGTGTGGGGGGGTGGATTGGGGAGTATTTTCTTGTTAGTGTGTGTGTGTGTGAGAGAGAGAGAAAGTGTGTGTGAATTTAATGAATTGTGTGTGAGTGTGAAGATAGTGAGAGTGTGTGTTTGAGAGTTGTATATGTGTGTGTGTGTGTGTGTGTGTGTGTGTGTGTGTGTGTGTGTGTGTTAGATATTAAGAGCATGTAAGTGTATGTGCGATAGTTGTGTGTGTATGTATGTATGCGAGTATGTTTGAGAGTTGTATATGTGTGTGTGTGTGTGTGTGTGTGTGTGTGAGAGAGTGACAGAAATAGCAAGAGTGTGCATGTGAGAGTATAAATGTTTATGAAAAGTGTGTGTGTGTGTTTTTCTTGTTTGTGTGCGTTTATGTGTCGTTTTTGTGAGTGTGTGGGGGGGGGGTGGATTGGGGAGTATTTTCCTGTTCATGTGTGTGTGTGTGTGAGAGAGAGAGAGAGAAAGTGTGTGTGAATTTAATAAATTGTGTGTGAGTGTGAAGATAGTGAGAGTGTGTGTTTGAGAGTTGTATATGTGTGTGTGTGTGTTAGATATCAAGAGCATATAAGTGTATGTGAGATAGGTGTGTATTTATGTATGTATGCGAGTACGTTTGAGAGTTGTATGTGTGTGTGTGTGTGTGTGTGTGTGTGTGTGAGCTGTGCTTGAGAGTGAAAGAAATAGCAAGAGTGTGCATGTGAGAGTATGAATGTTTATGAAAAGTGTGTGTGTGTGTGTGTGTGTGTGTGTGTGTGTGTGTGTGTGTGTGTGTGTGTGTGTGTGTGTGTGGATTTGGGAGTATGTTCTTGATCATATGTTTAAATAAATGAGATTAGACTTTTCAGATTTTTATAGTATTAAGTTTAAAGCAGTTCACCTGAATCCTCACGATGACATCAACAGTTTACTCTTTACTCCCCAAACTAACCTCCACAGCACACCAGTATCTAGACTTTCACACGTTTAACAGGACGTCACTCAGTGAAATATACTAACTCAGGAGCAGCAGATCTCCTCAGTGTTTTAAAAAGGATCATGATCTTCAGTCTTATAATAACATTAGTGCTGTAGTGTAAACACTCGCGAGGTCAAACACACTCAGAGGAGCAGCTGCTGTCCCCTACTGACCCAACATCTGACCCTTACTGCATTTAAAGGCTGCAGCGTGGAATCAAAATGCACCATGTTTATTTTCCTGGCGCACATCATTCGTTTTAAGGTGAACAAAAAAGCTGATATGTTCATCTTTGAGTGTGTAGTGTGTGAGTTTAAAGCAGGGGTCACCAATCCTGGTCCTGGAGGGCCGGTGTCCCTGCAGGGTTTAGCTCCAACTTGCCTCAACACACCTGCCTGGATGTTTCAAGTATACCAAGTAAGACCTTGATTAGCTTGTTCAGGTGTGTTTGATTAGGGTTGGAGCTAAAATCTGTAGGACACCGGCCCTCCAGGAACAAGTTTGGTGACCACTGGTTTAAAGTATTAAAACACCATCATATGTGTGCAGATATTTCAGAAACATGCTCAGTGAACATTCTTGTTTATCTGAAAAACAGTGCTGGAGTCAGATTTTCTGCTTTGAACATGTGCATTATGGATATGGATATTATTAAAGGGACTAAGCCGACAAGAAAATGAATGAATTATTGAAATAATAAAAATCATATTATTTTTTAGCCTACAAATAAACACCACTGCCTTCATGCCTTCTTCATCTCTTTGTATAATGTTATTATTATTAGCAGTATTATTTAATATATCCATATTTATATTTGTTTTTCAGGGTCTCTGCAGATATCATAATGTCAAATTTAAGACCTTTTAATACCTTTTTAAGACCATTAAGTATTAAATTTAAGACCTATATCGCAATATCAAAAACACGCGAGAGAAAATGTAAAATGCTTGTAGTTTCTGCCAACTCGACTCTACACCATAACTTTTCAATCCAGATGGACGGGGCAACCATTACTGCATCCAAAATGGTGAAAAGCCTTGGAGTAACGATTGATGACCAACTAAACTTCTCTGACCACATCTCTAGAACTGCTCGATCGTGCAGATTCGCACTCTATAACATCAGAAAGATCCGA